TCAGAATATGCCAGTTTCTCTGGTAATTTTTACCATCCACATGAAATCTCAGAAAAGTGTGAGATTTTTGTCAGTAATGGCCATTCTCTCAAATATCCAGGTTCAACAGTTAGTTTGTAAATATCTGCTTGGAGTAAATAGATCTTGGTCCTCAAAAATTGAAAAAATAAATAAATTGAGCGGCAACCAAATGTGAGTTTTTGGGGGCCCACAGCCCCCCTTCATAAAGATACCCAATATTTTACAACAAAATTTATGATCAAGAATCTACAATAATACAAATTGTCAGCTTCCTAGCTCTATTTTTTTATGAAGTTATGGTCTCTCAAACATGCTTATACATTAAGGCTTCTGAAAAAGTGAGCATTGGCCCAAAACTTCAATGGGCCATAACTCAAGAACGACTCAAGGGATTGAGCTAAAATTCAGATTCTTTCATTTGATAATTTTAGAAATTTTTTGAATTTTTTTCAACCAAATCTGAGATGGCCCATAGGGGAGATTTCTTGAAAATGACTGATTTCATACAGACTGACCCTATAAATAAAAACGAGTAGGCTAATTATGGCATTCAAATAATGCATGGATGGGTTATGAACCATTTTGACCTAAGTCAAAAACTTTCTCATGCACATTATGGCAGTGTAGAGCCACGATGCCCCACAAAAAAATATGAAAACATGTTAATAGAGGGATTATGTTGTTTAACCTTCTCAAAATATTATCATCCATCCATCCATCCATCCATCCATTTTCGTCCGCTTATCCGGGGCCGGGTCGCGGGGGGAGCAGCCTAAGCAGGGACTCCCAGGCTTCCTCACCCCAGACACGTCCTCCAGCTCCTCCGGGGGGACCCCGAGGCGTTCCCAGGCCAGCCGAGAGTCCCTCCAGCGTGTCCTGGGTCTTCCCCGGGGCCTCCTCCCGGCGGGACATGCCCGGAACACCTCCCGAGGGAGGCATCCGGAACAGATGCCCGAGCCACCTCAACTGGCTCCTCTCGACGTGGAGGAGCAGCGGCTCTACTCCGAGCTCCTCCCGTGTGACTGAGCTCCTCACCCTATCTCTAAGGGAGTGCCCAGCCACCCTGTGGAGGAAACTCATTTCGAGCGCTTGTATCCGCAATCTCGTCCTTTCGGTCACTACCCAGAGCTCATGACCATAGGTGAGAGTAGGAACGAAGACTGACCGGTAAATCGAGAGCTTCGCCTTTCGACTCAGCTCCCTCTTCACCACAACGGTCCGATACAGCGACCGCATCACTGCCGAAGCTGCACCGATCCGCCTGTCAATCTCACGTTCCGTCCTTCCCTCACTCGTGAACAAGACCCCGAGATACTTGAACTCCTCCACTTGAGGCAAAGACTCCCCACCCACCCGGAGAGGACAAGCCACCTTTTTCCGGTCGAGAACCATGGCCTCGGACTTGGAAGAGCTGATCTTCATACCAGCCGCTTCACACTCGGCTGCAAACCGCCCCAGTGCACACTGCAGGTCCTGGCTCGATGAAGCCAACAGAACAACATCGTCCGCAAACAGCAGAGATGAAATCCTGTGGTCCCCAAACCGGCCCCCCTCCGGCCCCTGACTGCGCCTACAAATTCTGTCCATAAATACAATGAACAGAACCAGTGACAAAGGGCAGCCCTGGCGGAGTCCAACATGCACCGGGAACAGGTCTGACTTACTGCCGGCAATGCGAACACAGCTCCTGCTCCGGTCATACAGGGACCGGACAGCCCTTAGCAAAGGGCCCCGGACCCCATACTCCCAGAGCACCCCCCACAGGACACCACGAGGGACACGGTCGAATGCCTTCTCCAGATCCACAAAACACATGTGGACTGCTTGGGCAAACTCCCATGAACCCTCGAGCACCCTATGGAGAGTGTAGAGCTGGTCCAGTGTTCCACGGCCAGGATGAAAACCACACTGCTCCTTCTGAATCCGAGGTTCGACTATCGGCCGGATTCTCCTCTCCAGTACCCTGGCATAGACCTTACCGGGAAGGCTGAGAAGTGTGATCCCCCTATAGTTGGAACACACCCTCCAGTCCCCCTTCTTATACAGAGGGACCACCACCCCGGTTTGCCAGTCCAGAGGTACTGTCCCCGACCGCCACGCGATGTTGAAGAGGCGTGTCAGCCAAGACAGCCCCACAACATCCAGAGACTTCAGGTATTCAGGACGGATCTCATCCAACCCCGGAGCCTTGCCACCAAGGAGCTTGCCAACCACCTCAGTGACTTCGGCCAGGGTGATGGATGAGTCTGCCTCCGAGTCCCCAGCCTCGGCCTCCTCCTCGGACGTGATGGTGGGATTGAGGAGATCCTCAAAGTATTCCTTCCACTGCCGGACAACGTCCCCAGTCGAGGTCAACAGCCCCCCGCACTGTAAACAGTGTTGGTGAAGAACTGCTTTCGCCTCCTGAGGCGCCGGACGGTTTGCCAGAATCTCTTTGAGGCCGTCTGATAGTCCTTCTCCATGGCCTCCCCGAACTCCTCCCAGCTCCGAGTTTTTGCCTCCGCGACCACACGGGCTGCAGCACGCTTGGCCCGCCGGTACCCGTCAGCTGCCTCAGGAGTCCCCCGAGCCAGCAAGGCCCGATAGGACTCCTTCTTCAGCTTGACAGCATCCCTTACTTCCGGTGTCCACCACCGGGTTCTGGGGTTGCCGCCGCGACAGGCACCACAGACCTTACGCCCACAGCTCCGAGCAGCTGCATTGACAATAGAGGCCGAGAATGAAGCCCACTCGGACTCCATATCTCCGGCCTCCCCCGGAATCCGGGAGAAGTCCTCCCGGAGGTGCAAGTTGAAGGTCCCTCTGACAGAGGGCTCCGCCAGACGTTCCCAACAGACCCTCACTACACGCTTGGGCCTGCCAGGTCTTTCCGGCTTCCTCCTCCGCCAGCGAACCCAACTCACAACCAGGTGGTGATCAGTTGACAGCTCAGCCGCTCTCTTCACCCGAGTGTCCAAGACACGCGGCCGGAGATCAGATGACACGACGACAAAGTCGATCATCGACCTCCGGCCTAGGGTGTCCTGGTGCCACGTGCACATATGGACACCCTTGTGCTCGAACATGGTGTTCGTTATGGACACACTGTGACTAGCACAGAAGTCCAATAACAAAACACCACTTGGGTTCAGATTGGGGAGGCCGTTCCTCCCAATCACCCCTCTCCAAGTGTCACTGTCGTTGCCCACGTGGGCGTTGAAGTCCCCCAGGAGAACAACGGAGTCCCCGGTCGGTGCACTGTCTAGTACCCCTCCCAAGGACTCCAAGAAGGCCGGGTACTCTGCACTGCTGTTCGGCCCGTAGGCCGACACCACAGTGAGAGACCTGTCCCCGACCCGAAGGCGCACAGCGACTGAGCTGTGGGGCAATGAGCAGGCCCACACCAGCCCGCCGCCGCTCCCCGCGGCCAACGGCAGAGAAATGGAGAGTCCAGCCCCTCTCAAGGAGTTGGGTTCCAGAGCCCAAACTGTGCGTGGAGGTGAGGCCGACTATATCTAGTCGGTAACGCTCAACCTCCCGCACAAGCTCAGGTTCCTTTCCCCCCAGCGAGGTGACATTCCATGTCCCCAGAGCTAGTCTCCATGTCCGGAGATCTGGTCGCCGAGGCCCCCGCCGTCGACTGCTGCCCAGATCTCTCTGCACCGGCCCCATATGGATCCTCCTGCGGGTGGTGGGCCCACGTGAGGACGGCCCCACGTCGCTCCTTCGGGCTGAGCCCGGCCGAGCCCCGTGGGGGGAGGCTCGGCCACCAGGCGCTCGCTGGCGAGCACCCACCCCAGGCCTGGCTCCAGGGTGAGGCCCCGATGACGCCAATCCGGGCGACGTAACTTCTGAACCGTTCTTCATCTGACCCGTCCCCCCGGACCTGTTTGCCTTGGGTGACCCTACCAGGGGCATGAAGCCCCCGACAACATAGCTCCCGGGATCATTCGGGCACTCAAACCCCTCCACCACGATAAGGTGACGGTTCAAGGAGGGGAAAAAAAATATTATCAATATCCACAAAATGTCTCTATACACTATTTTCAATCTACATGTAGCTAGTAGGCTGCAAAGCATTGATTGTATATAGAAATGATCAAAAATTTTATTATAAATGAATATTTGTATATAGGTCTCCTACATACAATACAGGCAATCTCACAGATCCAGAGATTCACAATGCAGACCAAAACAAAAACTTGTGAAAACATTTTTATTATCTCAATTTGCATTGTCTTGTCAATAATGTTACAAATACAGCATAAAGTTGTAAAGTAACTTGCTGATGTTTTTTGTCTTTTCAAATAAAAATTTAAATGCATTTGATTATAATAACATTGTTTTTTGTAAATATGACATTAATATTCAGTTTAAAAGTACAGCATAAAGTTGTAAAGTGAGTTATTGATTTTTTTAATATTTTCAAATAAAACGGTCAAAAAAAAAAAATATATATATATATATATATATATATATATATATATATATATATATATATATATATTGTTACATCTTTTTCAGTTACCGTGCCACCCCCTAGGCTCCCGTGGCACGGTAACTGAAAAAGATGTTAAAAATGAACCGGGTGTGGAACAAAACGGGAAGCGTGGCGAGGTGAAAAAAGGATATTTATTATTACAAAAACGAAAGTGCCAAAACGGTGTACAAAATGCAGATAAAGGTAACACAAAAATAAACAACTAAGGAACGCTGCAGCGGAGGACCCACTGGTCACTCTTCTCGGGTTGGCTCCGGCTTTTATACCCCCGCTGATCAGGCAGACCAGGTGAGGCTGATCAGCGGGGCGGATCTGAGGTGGGGTGAGGCAAGAAAAATACAACGAGGACGGCATCTGTCACACACACACACACACACACACACACACACATATATATATATATATATATATTTTTTTTTTTTAACAATATTTTAATGTCTAATTAAAGACTTTTTGTTCGGTTCAGACATTTTCCATGCAGAGTGGGTTTTCATCTACGTCAGAGGTGAGTGGTGCAGAGAACCTCCTGAACAGGAGACACGGTGGTCACAGTGGTGGAGCTGCATCTGAACATCAATCTGCAACGACCAGACAAACAAGAGAAAATCCACTGCCAGGGCTCTGCCCCTGAAATAGAGGGCTTCATAACATTTGTATTAAATCACAGATTGAGGAGTTTACCTCCGTGGCGTGGCCATCTGTTCAATGGCATCAGGCAGTGGTTCTTGAAACGTCTCTGGGAGGAAGGAGAGCAGCAGGACACTCAGCAAAGTCAGCAAAGCCAACAGCAGCCAGGGCAGTGAGGGCGCTACCACAGCTGCGAAGGGGCACAAAGTGTATCAACAAAGGGTTAGAGTGAGGACAAATGTGAAATAAAAGGGATTGGTGTTTGTAACTGACCCAGGAGCTGGAGATACGGTGACAGAGACGCACCCACACGTCCAAACATGGCACAGGAAGACATGGCTGTGTTACGGATGATTGTTGGGAACAGCTCTCCAGTGTGGATGTGCATGCAGTGGATTACAGCTAGGGCCCCAAACTTACACAGCAGCACAAAGCACAAAGTAGCAATCGGGTAAACTGCACACAGAGCAGAGGCTGCACTTAGAGCCCATTTAATTATTTAACTACTAGTACAACTAGTTTATAAGCTAGTAAAATATTTAGCTACATTCTTGGTGTTTGAAGGTTAGTAAATAGAAGTAAAGTAGAAAGAAGCCCTCTGGTTAGTTCAAGGCATTCAAGCTCTAAAGTGACTTTTCTCTGCAGATGTATAAACAATAATAACAGAATAATAGTATTTAGCAGTGCAGTTTTCATTAAGCTCTATAAAGCTTTTTAAGATCCTGTATTATTTCATGTATTATATTTCTTTCTTGCTTGTATTACTGTGTCTGATGGTAGTATGTTTGTAGGTAGGACATTTTAGATTTGTAATTATTCTTTCTAAAATCAAATCCAGACATTGTTAAGAATGTGTTGTTTTCAAAGTGAAAGTGAAGTGAAAATTTGACTCACTATCTGTGGTGAAAAAGATGGGAAGCAGACCTATGGTGCCCAATGCACCAAATATGATGAAGATCATTCTACGACGGAAGTTTGCTAATGCCAGCCAGCTGAATAGGTGTGAAGGGAGTTCAATCACTGCGATACAGAAGTAGATCACGAAAGGGCTCCCACTCAAACCAGTTACACTGAATGACAGGCCATTGTTGATAACTTCAATAGAGAACCTGACACAAACAATTGAACAAAGGTCAAAATATGAGAGATTCTTCAATCTACACCACCACATCACAGGTGTCTACTGATTTTGTACCAAGCCTTTAGCTGTGTTTAAATTCCACAATGTGAAATAAGTGTTTTAAATGAAATAAATGTTATAAATGAAACAACTCAATTAATGTGTGTACATTGCAGTTAAAGCAATTGAAATTTGTTCACAAAAATGCACCTAAACCTCCCTTTTATCAATCTGAAATCTCACCAACTGATCCAAAGCATTACAGTGATGTGCCGGATGTTCCTAGTTTTCAGCAGGTCCAAGAAAGTGCATGGCTCAGAGCTTAATGACCCTAACTGTAAAAACCAAAACCAGGTTTAGGCTCTCCACTTATGAGAACACTTTATATAAGACATCATTTACAAAGGCCAAGACAGAATATACATTTGCCTGAAATTAGCACTTAAAATAAAGTAATCTAAGGAAACAAACCAAAAGGTGTCTAAGGCTGTTATTGTAATGTTACGTGTGATGTGTGAAGTTGAACACAGTAGAACCTCCTCTGGGGGCAAGATGCTGGCGGGGGCTTCGACATGTGTTTCTAAAGCGGCCATCTGGAGGATCCTTTCAGCTTCCCTTGTGCGCCCCAGAGAGAGCAACCAGCGAGGGGACTCCGGGACTGCCCTGTGCCACAGGATATACACACATACGTATTAGAAAATTTATAAAAGTTTACACAGTTGTTTGTTTTCAAATGTAATCTTTGATGTCAAGCAACCCATTTGGTGCATCAGTGACACATTGCAGAATAATGACTGAATAATGACAAAGTTAAAGGTGCACTGTGTAACTTTTTGGATGCATGTTTCTATTGATATATCACTGCTCTGCCTGGAACGTTCCACAGTATGACATTAATGAGCTCCACCTTGCATTTATTAAATTACAAGTTGTTTTATTATGGAGTAAGAAAGCTGTCAAAAATATTTGTGCGCATAAAATAGAAATCCGTGCGTATTTGGGAAATCCGTGCATATTTGGCTGTAGTTGCGCATAAAATAAATATTTGTAAACTCTCAAATGAGTCCAGTCGTACATAAAATATATTGTGTGTATTTTATCCATCAGAATATGAATTGAAAAATTACGACGTCATGAATTACAATCACGAAATGAAAATTTACGATTACGCTTTCATCAGTACGAATACGAATTCACAGACGGAACTTTACTGTCAAAAATACATCATCACTTCACAGACATTGTTCATCGAGCAGAAGAAACATCGATCAAGATCAAGACTGCGCATGCTCAAGTTTGTAGCAGAGTAAAAACAGAGTAATAGCACAAGAAGCTACAACAGCGACCAACAAGTGGGTTAATTAAAATCTATTGTAAAAATGTCTTGAATTCGGGAACCGAACACTGCTATTAATATTGTTTAGAAACACCTCCTTTGAACGGGAAATTGCACCTATATGTTAGATAACATAGTGGTAGCCAGTTGGCTAACATCCGACGTAACGTTATCCCAGGGCTAATTAGCAAATATCAGGTTCTCTGTATGTTTAGATTAAAACATTCACGGCTACAGCCACAGCGAGCATCAGCCAGTCTTCACTTCAGCTGCATTTCTTGCATGAAATGCCACCAAAAGTTCCTCGGGACGCTGAAATGTCCCAGTTTACACCAAACACTACCAAACTGTCCTGGTTACAGACGTCACAGCCAATGAAATGTTACACATTACAGTTTAATGCAGCTTACAGCAACAATTAATGTTCGTGTTTACAGGCAACACCTTGGTATATATACAGTATTTGTATTTACCGGTAAGTATAACGTCACCGTGACGTGGATGGATTTGCTAATTATAACCCATTGTCTGAAATGCAGCTGAAGTGAAGAGAGAGAGGACACACAGAGAGAGAGGACACACAGAGAGAGAGGACACACAGAGAGAGAGGACACACAGAGAGAGAGAGAGAGGACACACAGAGAGAGAGAGGACACAGAGAGAGAGAGAGGACACACAGAGAGAGAGAGGACACACAGAGAGAGAGAGAGAGGACACACAGAGAGAGAGAGGACACAGAGAGAGAGAGAGAGAGACACACAGAGAGAGAGAGGACACACAGAGAGAGAGAGGACACACAGAAGAGAGAGGACACAGAGAGAGAGAGGACACAGAGAGAGGACACACAGAGAGAGAGAGGACACAGAGAGAGAGGACACACAGAGAGAGAGAGGACACACAGAGAGAGAGAGGACACACAGAGAGAGAGAGAGAGGACACAGAGAGAGAGAGACAGAGAGAGAGAGGACACACAGAGAGAGAGAGGACACACAGAGAGAGAGAGAGAGGACACACAGAGAGAGAGAGACACAGAGAGAGAGAGAGAGAGACACACAGAGAGAGAGAGAGAGGACACACAGAGAGAGAGAGGACACAGAGAGAGAGAGAGAGAGGACACAGAGAGAGAGAGAGAGAGAGAGGACAGAGAGGCATTCTTTGACTGTCAAAGAAAGTTCACGTAAAAACTAAACTTAAACAGCAGTTTTGGTAAGTAATTCTCAACATGAAACTTAAACTACAGATCTTCCTCCAATATAATTTGTATGAGCAAGCAAACATAGATCTATTAGCGAGCAAACTGTACTGGTGCGCCTTTACAGCGTCAATAGAGCTTCTCCAGGCTTTTTAGCAGGGGACACACAGGAAATAAGCACTTGGTGCCAAAATAAACTTCCGATACCCCTTCAACGTTCCTAAAAACAGTACAGTTCAGTTCAGTTCAGTTACAGTCGCGTAAACATCGTGCGTATCCAGGAGCTCGGGGAATAACTCGTGATGAACAACGGAAAGTTTACAGCTGTGGAGGATAAATATAAACCACTTTATGGCACCAGAGAGCAACTTTACAAGAACAACTTCTGAAGGATAGTGCACGTGGTGCAGGTAACCAAAGTTAAATGGTGAGTCGCTTAATTAATGTGAGAACCACCGGCTCGTTTTCGCTAAAAAAGCATCGTCTCCCTTGTTGTCAACTTATGTATTGTGATTTAAAATACATAGTTAGTTATTTTAATAGATCCATGATATAACTATAAATAAATAGCAAGCACGCTCACAGTAATGCTTCTGTTTTGTATTACCTGTGCAGGAGTGAGGACATTAATCCATTCCTGGCTAAGATTGGAGTTTGGTGGAATGTAGCACTCATGAGGTGGAGACGCTACTAAAAAAAATACTAATAAAGCTGTGTATCCTGGAGGAAAACCACAACAGCACATCGCAATAAACAGTCTTCTCTGAAACGGACCCCAAGTTCCCAAAAACGCAACTCTTTCTTCATAATTCATCCTCTCTGTCCAAAAAATTAACTGTTTAATTTAGCTCGCTGAAGTTTCGTATGCTACAGGTAACTGCTGTAAATGCATTTTGAGCCAGAGAGAGACTGGTTTTATAAGTTTTTTCTAAAATTAACACCGTTGCTTTCATTTGACTATTTTTACTGGCATTTTCAGTTGAAACAATGTCTGTAACAAGGTCAGATCCCAGAATTATCGCCTACAGCCTACATTTCCCCAAAATGACCGGCTACAAGAAATAAATGGGAAATAATTGATACATATATCCATCCCGTGGTCACTCACAGGATACTATGGTTTGTTTTGCCATCTCACAGTAAACAAAATGGAAAATGTGTGACCTTTACCATTGTTAATTCAATTTCCAAAAAAATTACTATTAGCCTCCGAGTCTAGCCTCCTCACACTGAGAAACAAAAGGTTATGTTAGGGATTGTTTGCACCACGACTAGTAGCACATGTTTGAAAATCACTATCATAGTATGGCTGTATTTTTTTAACTAACGTGCAAAGAGGATATAGGTTCTAGCGTCCTTTACCTGCAGTTTTACACTGGACAGTCTTAGTTTAGGAATATATTTTAGATTTTGTTCACATGGCCCTTTATATATTATTGAGTTGGCTCTGTGCTGTTACTGGGCTGATAAATAACTTTGTGATCTGGCAACCGTGGCCCAGTGTACACAGACAAGATGGCGGCATCTATGGAAGACGAGTTTGAGGATGCACCAGACGTGGAGCCGCTTGAACCAACCTTAAAGAATATAATTGAACAGAAATCCCTAAAATGGATATTTGTGGGTGGCAAAGGTGGTGTTGGTAAAACCACATGTAGGTAAGTTAAAACAAAGAATCCACGTACATGGCCATGGAAGAGTGGTGACTCACCGCTAGCTTAATCACTTAGCCGGTAGCATATTGACGTTTCATTTTATTTAGTTTAATTATTTAAATCTTACATACAGGTAAATATGTTTTCCTTGTTGCTCAGTCACAGAGCGTACATTTATTTTTATTTAGTATTCAGAACAGATTAATTAGACGGTTAGATGGATGCTGTAAAAATGATGGGTCTATCAGATGGTTCTCTCAGAACAGGAGTCTGCTCTGTCTGAACTGTCAGAGTGAATCCACATTTTCTTTTGGTTGAACTGATTTTATAACTTCATTTCCTCAGACAACCTAAAATAGCAATATAACGTTTCATAACATCATAATCTGTATTTAATTATATTAAGTTGGAAATTTGTTGAACGTTTTGTTTCTCATCTAGGAGATTTAGGTTAAACTCTGAAGTTGAATTTTAGGAAAGCTGTCTAGATATTTGTCTTATGACAACTTGTAAAACACATTTCTGTGTCTATATCATTTTATATCAACTGTTATTTTATTCAGCACCACTCCTAGTCAGTTTGTATTTTTCCTCCATACGGTAGGTACTCCCCTTAATCTGCTACCAGTAAAACTATATATTAATTTAAATATTTTAATGAAGTGTTAACGTGTGCTTCATGTGTTTTTCAGCTGTAGTTTGGCAGTCCAGCTGGCTGCAGTGAGGGAAAGTGTCCTCATCATCTCCACAGATCCAGCCCATAACATTTCTGATGCTTTTGACCAGAAGTTCTCTAAGGTGCCCACCAAAGTCAAGGGCTATGACAACCTTTTTGCAATGGTAAGTATCTTCTTAATACAGTTACAAATGTGACTGGTCTTCAACTGACAGATTTTTTGTAGACATTAATGGCTATATTCTGTGCTATTTGTCAATGCAGGAGATTGACCCGAGCCTGGGAGTGGCGGAACTGCCTGATGAGTTCTTTGAAGAGGACAACATGCTCAGTATGGGCAAGAAGATGATGCAAGAGGCAATGAGCGCTTTTCCAGGCATCGACGAGGCTATGAGTTATGCAGAGGTCATGAGGTGAATTAGCCCCTTCTCAAGAGCAAAAGAAAACCTTAAATGCATTTTATTTTAGAGATATTATGCAAAATTGACTTAAGCAACCAAAATTTCCCTCTTTCATTTTATTATTTCTTAGACCCGTCTTTTGATTGATTCATGCATGTTTGACTAATTTTGTCTTTTTCTGTTCTTTTTGTTAAGGAACAGAATTTAAATATGTTGTTTTGAACATAATAACCTGTTAGGTGTGTTTCTAATGCAATGCCTGTTGCCTTCTTCCTGTGTTATAGATTAGTGAAAGGAATGAACTTTTCCGTGGTTGTTTTTGACACTGCCCCGACTGGCCACACACTTCGGCTTCTTAACTTCCCCACCATTGTAGAGCGAGGTTTGGGCCGCCTCATGCAGATAAAAAATCAGATCAGCCCTTTCATCTCTCAGGTAGAGCTCAACCAGCTCAAGTCATTAGCTACAGGTTCAGCCTGTTTTAATTCAGTTCCTTTTAATTACTTGTACCGTTCTCAGATGTGTAACATGCTTGGTTTGGGTGACATGAATGCAGACCAATTGGCGTCAAAGCTGGAAGAAACGCTCCCGGTTATTCGCTCCGTCAGTGAGCAGTTTAAGGACCCTGTAAGTAATGTGTAATTTCAATAATGGTATTTAAACTTTATTCAAAATTGGTAAATGTCCATTAAAACATGTTTTTTTTGTTTGATTTTTATCTTTTCTCTCACTGCCTAGTTTTTGGTGCAGTCTCAGGACTCGTACAACAATTTACCATTTTATAATTTTTAAGTATCATGCTTTAGAGTTATTCTGTCATTGGCCTAAACTGGTTTTAATAAATAATATTTATTGTAATATTTTTTGTCACTATATATCACACTTCAAAATGAGTGAAATTCCCTTTGTCTTCCAGGAGCAGACCACCTTCATCTGTGTGTGCATTGCTGAGTTTCTGTCCCTCTACGAGACTGAGCGGCTGATCCAAGAGCTCGCTAAGTGCCGCATTGATACACACAATATCATCGTCAACCAGCTTGTTTTCCCTGATGCCGAGAGGCCGTGTAAAATGTGTGAAGCTCGCCATAAAATCCAGTCCAAGTACTTAGATCAGGTTAGTTGTTCTATTTACTACTTTGTTCTTTATGCTCTAAAGTGTCATACAAAAGATGAATGATCAAATTTATTTTATGTAATCAAGATAGTCACACTCACATTCAGTGAATTTAAATTATACATTTTAGTTTTAGACATGAAAGCATACGTCAAAGAGGACCATGAATATGAAATGTAAAGTCAGGTAAAGCTGTAACTTGGCTACTGGCCTCCAGAAGAGACAGGGGAGTCCTGTGGTGTGTGTTTACATTTTTTATAATGAGTATCAGTGCATATGTGGGAAGAAGTATTTTTTGATCAGCAGAGCGTTCTCTTCGTGAGACTCCCTCAGAACTCTCAATTCTGTCCTTGAGTCCAGGCAACAAAGTTGTGTATTCCATGTGAGTGCAATTTACAACCAGCCAAAAGGAAAACAATATTACACAACAAAAAATGAAACCCGAAAAACATAACACAAAACATAAACCATCTAAAAACAAACCCATAACCTAATAATAAAATGTTAATTTCTAAACATCCATGAGTGGCCTAAGAAAATGTACAGATTATCCATTGTAATCTGGAGATTTTAGAACCCTCACACCCTTAACTACTCATACATGACCGCAATAGGCAAACAGAAAAATGTAATTGTAATTCTAAAAACGTAATTACGTAGATCCACCATCTGCTCCCAGAAATTATCTGAAGATACCTCATAAATATACAGTAATGTACATGATATATCTATATCCAAGCCAAATTTATTTGTATAGCACATTTTACCAACACAAGGTCTCCAAAGTGCTGCACAGTGTAGTCACAAAATAAATTAACACTTTAAATAAAACAAAGCATAAAATGAATAAATAAGCAAATCTATAAAAAACAAAAAATGAAGTTGGCCCTCAGACCTCAGAGCGTGAAGGAGTGTAGGGAACAATGAGATCTGAAATGTACATTGTACTATAACTAATCCAACATGAGAATCAAAAATATTACATGCCCTCGAAATATGATTGTGAGATATTTCAACTTCATCTATTTTTCGTTACTGTCATCAGTCTTATATTCATCACAGAGTTCAAACAGACAAGCAAAAGGGACACCACAACAATCACAGAGCTAGTAAGGGCCAAAGTGGTAGAAATGTACTAGTGAGGCCATGAGTAGCTCAAGTCAAATAGGCCTGATATATAATGCTGTACTGAAAGTATTTTTTTTGTTTTACATTTTTATTAGTGCAAAAGAAAAAAAAAATGCATCAGTGGAAATAAACATACAGTATATACAAATCATCCCAGAGTGGTATTTATGACTTATTTACTTGTGTCCTTTTCACTGCAGATGGAGGATCTCTATGAGGACTTCCACATAGTCAAATTACCTCTGCTGCCTCACGAGGTCCGAGGGGCAGATAAGGTCAACACTTTCTCTAAGCAACTTCTGGAGCCGTACAAGCCACCGAACAAGTGATTTTCTTCAGTCAGGACGTCCTCTCTGCAACTCTCTCCCTTTCCCCCCTCTGTTTCTTCCTCTCTCCTTCCACTGTTGCAAAAAAAACAAAAAAAAAACAACTTTACAGTTTTAACACATCCTCTCCCTATCAAGCCTCAAACAAATGTCTTTTAGTTACAGAGAAAGTGCACAGAGATGTCATATCTTTTGGGGGGGAAGGAGAGCCATGACTCAAAGCATTCATTACTAGGGTGGCAGTATGTCTTTTCATATACAAAGAATTTAACTGATAATTTTACCTTCCCCAAGACTTGGGTTTGGAATGAATTCATGAGGTTACAGATTGTGGATGTTTACATGTGTTTATTCTTCAATTACTGTGTTCTTCTTATATTAATCTTGATTAATTTGCATTCCAAATTAATTGGTGTATAATTTGAAAAGTAAATTACCAAAGTTGATGTAATTCGAGAGCATTGGAGCAAAATGTTGCTTCAACATGCTAGACGCTAAAACCTAACTTTTGTATGCTAACTTAAGCAATCTAATTATAACATTGAGAAGTGTCATGCAATATCCCCTTTAGCTTTTATATATTTAGCTAAAGCTCCTAAGCTGCTGCTTTGACCCATAGTAAGTCAAAGTTAAGAAGACTGGAGAATTGACTGACAAAGCTGGACAGCTACCCACATTTCAGCTTCAACAAAAACACTAAAGGAACTCTCGCCTTATCTGATGTTGAATGTCTGCGATCAAGTCTACATGAAGGGTGCAACAGAGCGGAGGCACATTTGTGGTAAAGCGACTTGTTGCTTGCTTTTATGACTAGTGATACCTGAAAGAATCATCCACAGTTATACATTTAATTTCCTCTTTACGTGACTGAATGCTTTTGAGTCTGAAACTGTTTTCTAGAGATTATCTTTTAAATTAAGTTGACCGTAAAAATATTAAACAAACTTTGTTTCTGCTACATATATTTGTCACTCATAATTTTATATGCAATATCTCACTTAAGGCTTAAGCATAGACTTCCACATTTCATTTATTTCATTTTGGGAATAATGACTGAAATAAAGATGAACATATCGTATTCATTTAGTCTTACGATGCTAACATAATAACTAATATTAACTGTAAAACAGTTGTATGTCAAAGTTTGCCGTGGTCATTAGAGGCTCTTTCATGCCACTACTGTACAGAGCATGTGCCCCATTGCTTTGGCGTGTCACTTGTAGTCCATCAACAGATCCAATTGTCCCAGTCAGGGGGCTGCACTAATGAGCTCCTCCTCCTCATTTTGGGGATTTGCCCCGGGGTGCATGAGCCTGTGGACAGAGCTCTGGTGCTGGTGCTGCTGACTGCTGTAGATAACAGTAAATACAGCCTTATCTGTGAACACAAAGGGTGACACAAAGATGTGTTGAAGTGGAATCAGCATTCAACTCTTCAAGTTAAGGTATGTATTATTTGACTATTGATTAAACCTAAAATGTGCACAATGAGAAAAATCCTCCAGTTAGCCCTAATACTAACCAAACCTAGTTCCATATCTGGAGTGCTGCACTGTGGTCACCCACTGCTCACCAGTTGCTCCAGTGGCATTGAAGAATTGGTCAAATGCAGAGTAAACAAATCCTTAAGGACACAATAACATATAGTGTAGAATATACCATAATCTAATCAAAAATGTTTGTTTGCATGTTTGAACAGGAATCATGTGATGTACAATGTACATTCAATTATACATACATTCCACAGACTGCAGTGTTTCTAGTGCAGTTTGAGTTTGTCCACAATGACTGTCACCTACACAGCCAGAGTTGCAAACGCTCGCTTCTGTGGATTCTCCAAGCTGCTCTTGGCCTGGAAGGGAAGCATCTACAAAGTTTTATACAAGGAGTTTATGGCTTTCTTTGCCATGTACACGGCCATAAGCATTACGTATAGGTGAGTTCTATCTCAATCATACAGTGTACACACTGCTGCATTCCACGTGCTTAGAAAGAAGAGCCAACATTTTTACTTCATTTTCATTTACTTTTAATTTAAGTAGAGCCATTAAATTAGAGATGTGTTCTGCAAAATAATTAAGACGGTAATTTCTGAGTCATTTAAGTCAATAACTTCCAAATAATCTATAATGCAAGACAAGACATTTAGAGTTTAACAGTACCAAAAGACCTGTGAGTACTGTCACAAATACTGTTTCTCATATAGAAATAAAAAGTCTGCTTCTGTTTCTCTCTAGATTTTTCCTGTATGATGACCAGAAGAGATATTTTGAAAAGATCGCCATTTACTGTAACCACTATGCTAGTCTGATCCCTATGTCTTTTGTATTGGGTAAGGTTTAATATTTCTCTTTTTTTATTGTATCAGCTGGGTTTAGCGAAATTATAGAAACATGTTTCAGAGCTAATTACCCTTAACAAATTAATTATGGAACCTATATATGTTACTTTTGATATGATTTCCCTTAAATTTTAGTGTTGTCATATCAAAACTTAAGCTTTATACTTATACAACATCTATCTGGTACTTGTAGGACAATCTGGAACCAGTTACATTTCAAGTATTTTCTATACACAGGTTTCTATGTGACTCTTGTGGTGAATCGTTGGTGGAGCCAGTACACCTGCATCCCGCTCCCTGACCAGCTCATGTGCATTCTCTCTGGTGGCCTGCAGGGCAGCGACGAGCGGGGCCGTTTACTCAGAAGAACCATGATGCGGTACGCGAGTCTGTCCGCCCTCCTCATCCTGCGCTCTGTCAGCACCGCCGTGTTCAAGCGCTTTCCCACCATTGACCATGTGGTAGAGGCAGGTGTGTACAAGCCCTTCAAAAACAGCCAGCCTGGAAGGTTTATAGTATATACATGGGGTTCTCGGTGATAAAAACTGATGAAAGATTGTTGCCATAGCAATTAATAAATCAAAGCAAAATATTATATCTTTTGAATGATAAAAAGTCCTCAAAATGTCGTTGAAACCCAAGAAGTATGAAGACGTACATGCCCTGATTTTTGAGTTGCCTTTTTGTTGCTGCAACAGTAAGTGAAGCAATGTAAAAAAAAAAAAAAAAGCAATAGTTACAAAATTTCTCACAAAAATTTGAGAAATACAATGACCAAACTGAGTCTAATAATGGCATATTCACTTTAAAAGAACTTCCTGGATTATCACCCAATGGCATTTCAAGGCGGAGTGTTTTTAGAGCTGAAGAGGCAAATGTGTGGGATTTCTCAAACATACATAATTTTTTTTATTTTTTAATTAACAACATTCAGACATGTTATAGTTTTTATTACATGTAAAAAGTCTATGTACTGGTAATTTGAAAGTTTTTTCTCATTTACGCACTATTACACCACAGGTTTCATGACAAGAGAGGAGAGGAAGAAGTTTGAAAGTCTCCAGTCTCCCTATAACAAATACTGGATCCCCTGTGTTTGGTTCTCTAACTTGGCTAATGTGGCTCGGTGTGAGGGCCGGATCAAAGATGACAGCACACTTAAACTTCTGCTAGAGGTACACTACTTACCACTATCTAATTGTACTTCTATGCAGGTATATGCAGGCTTTTGTTGTTTTCTTTAAATTATTTAGTTCTTTCTTATACTTCTCGTTATACTTCTGGTCGAAGGTTATCTTCGTGAAGGTATTGTAGCTTTGCTTGGAATGTTAATGGCATTAAAGTTATCCATCTTGCATTTATGAAATTACAGTTGTTTTGCTTGTCATAGTGTGAAACATTCCAGATGAAACAATAAACATTTCCGTGGTGATGATGAGCAGGTGGTGGACCCTGAACCAGAAAAGTTACATAGTACACGTTTAATGGTTATACTGAACTACTGAACTAGAATTTTTTGTTGTTTCTTGACTACTGACTTTTTTTAATTGTATAAATGCAGTCTTTTCAGTCAGTCAGATTTTGGCTGTGGTTCAGGACGGTGAACTGCAGAGATGATGTAACAGGCTCATTAGTCCTTCTGTTTTGTTCCAAACAGGAGCTGAACGTGTTTCGGGGGAAGTGCAGCATGCTGTTTCATTACGATATGATCAGTGTGCCTCTGGTCTACACACAGGTAAGCTCCCAGACAATTATAAATCACATCAATAATCCTAAAGCCATTTCCTGTTTGTTTTTATTATAAATTATTGCCAAGTTTATTTCTAATATACTACAAAGCAGTTTGGTATTGGTATTGTTGGCTTTCAGATTTTAGAATGTAATGACGTCAGGGTGTTTGAACTAGTTTTTATCCTCATAAGAATTATCCAGAAATGTCATACATTTTACTGACTAGGCTATTGGAACTTTGCATAATAACTTTCAATATTCTAATCTTTCTTATGTAACTTTTTCTGGTGGAGAATGCAGCACCTGTTTGTATCCATGTAGGTGTTGTTACTTAAGTTTAAGGTACACTTTATTGTCCCCATAGGAAAATGTGTTCTCTGCATTTGACCCATCCTTCATTATCGCTGAGGCAACTTGTCAGGAGCAGCTAGTCTGGACTACCTTAGCTGGAAGTTTTTACCTAGAATGCACATAATAAGAATAATTGCTTTTCAATGTATTTCTTAAGCAATAAAAATACATGTAATTGAATAAACGCAAGATAGATTAGGTTTAGTGTTATATTTCACCTATATCTGAACCACACTAACTAATTGGAAGATACATTTAAGATATAATTCAACTTCTGGCACTGGTGGGAGCCAGCTGCTGGTTGCAGTGCTCTCAAACTCTCACTCTTTTTTTCCAACCTTTTGCTCTTTTTTGCTCTTGTAAAGTAAGGGCTATAGTCTCCGCTTTGTTTCATACACTTTTTGGTGGATTACTTGTTTTATTGCAAAGACATGTGTGGGACCCTGGGGTCCTATACTCTACACTAGGGGTGTGCAAAAATGTTGAAATATCGATATATCGTATAGTTTAATTTGATGATACAGTATTGATATCGTAGTCTGCTGTATCAATATTTTGCCAAGAGTATTTTTAGAAATATTTTACTAAATTACTTTGTGTTAAAGCTATAATTGTGTTGACATTTTCACAGTTTTCAGTCAAATTTGTGTTTTTCATATTAACTTTGCACAAACTCAGTGGACTTGGTAGACTTTTAGTATCACAGCCATGATTTAGCTTTTGTTTTCGTATTGAATCAATTTGATATATCCAATCCAACTTTATTTGTATAGCACATTTTATAAACAAGACAGTTTCCAAAGTGCTTTACGTAGCAATGTAAAACATTTTACTTAAAAAAAAAAATCTGCAAAATTATGTTCCAACCATGAGGAAACTAATAGAATCAATAAATAAAATAATACTAAAATCAATTAACAAAAATAATAAAATCAATATATAGAGATATATATCTTATCAAATCGTATTGAATTGAAAGTGCACTGTATCAAAAAACGTATGTGGCCTATGTATTGAGGTATGTATCATATCGGCAACTTCTTAATGATACCCAGCCCTACTCTACACAAAGGAACAGCAATGTTTCCCTGAGACTGATACGTCCTTCCTGTGGAGGTGCTTCAGAAGACATGCTGTTCTTGGTTTTTGCATTGCAACACTGTGATTTCCCAATAGTGGGACAAATAAAGTTTATTTGTATCTCCACAGGTTGTTACTTTGGCGGTCTAGCTTCTTTCTGGTTTGTTTAATTGGTCGACAGTTTTTGGATCCTGCTCAAGGTTATCCTGGCTATGACCTCGACCTCTATGTGCCCATCTTCACTCTGTTGCAGTTTTTCTTCTACGCTGGATGGCTCAAGGTGAATAGTAACTTACATTACTACAATGTACAACCTTACAAAACCAAGAGTCTTATATGGGTGTTACACTTTCCCCTTTGATCCACAGGTGGCAGAACAACTTATAAACCCTTTTGGTGAAGATGATGATGACTTTGAGACCAACTGGCTGATAGACAGGAATTTTCAGGTTCAAATATCTATTTATCACAGTGAATGGCATAAAATACTTTATAAAATTAACTGGCAAACTAACTTTTTACAAGTATGAAATTCTACCAAAAGTTACACAGACTCTTTAAAGTCATATTTTTATTATTTATTCTAAGGACACTTTGCAGCTGATGTAATCAACATTTCCTGGGGGTGTAAACCTAACTGTAGACACTGCACTGTCTGAAGCTCCAGACCTCATAAGATGAAAGCTAAGCATTCAGTTAGTGTGGGGTCCTTTCTTAAATACTGTCACATTTGACCTATTTTATATACATATTTTAATACTAATGGATTTTAAAGAACACATTTTCATGCACTTCTGATCAATTTGTGCGTTCTTGGTCCTGTTTAGGCGTGTGATTTTTCAGCAAAAGTGTGAGAGTGACTAACTGAAAAACCGCTGGCTAATGCTACCTACCTTGTGATTATAATGTTATCTGAGAGGGAGTTAAAATGTTAAAATAAAGATCAGTTAGATAGACAGAGCATGCATACAGTTAGCATCATACCCCTAGGGGCTGTTGATCAGCTGCAAAGTAATCAGTAATGGGTGAATAAATGTGTTTGTTTAATCCCCAGGTTTCCATGATGGCAGTGGATGAGATGTACGGTGACCTGCCTCTATTACAGAGGGACAGATACTGGAATGACTCAAACCCCCGACCGCCCTACACTGCTGCCACTGTCTTTGTCCTGCGCAAACCCTCTTTCCAGGGGTCCACCTTCGACATGTTGTTAGTGTCACTTATTTATATACATTTGTCTCTCTAATGCTAAATGTTAATTGGCTGATTTATTTGTAATAATTAGGCTCTATCACTGAGACTAACTGAATATCAGTATTTCTAAATTCTAAATCTGTTCACTTTCCTGGTTGATGTCTGCAACCAGTTTGTCTCCATTGGGATGTTGATGCTTTTTAGTGCTTCACAAATGTATTTATCTTGCATTTATCCAGTTCATGTGGCGATCAGAAAGTCCTTGAAAAACATATGTTCTTACCCTGAGTGGGGTCACCTTCACAGATCTAAACTGTAACTTGATCTGTTGGCATCACCTGCTTGTCATTTAAGAATTTAAAGTCCTTATTGTGATCCTTTTAGCTAAAGCAAAAATGTCTTTATGGAGACAGGCAGGTGACAGACCCTCCACCTCCTAATTTGGAAATCAGGTTAAGGTCCTGAATATTAAGGTTAAAGTTAAATCATGTTCAATGTCTTCTTGACATTGCTATTGTGTTGATTTTAATGTGAAGTACTTTGGTCACCTTGAGTGTTGTAAAGGGCTCTATAAATAAACTAGAAAAGCACTCAGAGCGCAGACCTCCGCCAAGGACTACAGTCCCCCTCATATTAATTGTGTTTTCCATAAATATTTGTCTCGTATCTTTCAATTTGGAATATGAAAGAGGATCCCATTGTCCATCCCTGAGTCAAATTTCATGGGGTTTGGTCAATAATTAACCGAGATACTGAGAAACAAAATTTTTGGCCCCATTTACCACAATGTTAACAAAAATTTCAAAGTGATCCAGAATCCAGGATTTCGTTCGGATCACCCCCAAAATGAAATCAGTTCTTCCTTTTCACATTTCCAACAAATCCTGAAAATTTCATCAAAATCGGTCCATAACTTTTTGAGTTATGTTGCTAACAGACAAACAAACAAACAAACAAACAAACAGACAAACGCCGGCAAAAACATAACCTCCTTGGCGGAGGTAATAAAGTTTGATTGGTACTAGACTAATAGTACATGCTCTTTTTGTAACAGGTTGCCTAAAGATGAGATGCACTTCCAGCCTTTGGAGGACATTGCTGAAAACCTGGAGGAGTCGGGCAGTCGTGAGTCCAACATGGCGCTTTTAAACCGTCTCCTGAACGTAGCCCCCAGCTCCAGTGGTCTGATGGGAGGTGCGCTGCGCCGCACCTCAGCCCAGCTACAGAGGTTACGCCAATATCCCAGTGTGGACCCCACTGCCAGTGACGAAGAGGAGGAGAGCGCTACAGTAAGTAAAGAGTCCCTACCATCTGGACAGAAACAGGACACCCAGAGCACAGTGTGTAGTTTGAAGGAGATGTGCGTTGGGGCACCTCTTCTGGACATGCAAATTGGATCAGACCCTCTGGAGTTGAGGATTGAGGAGGATGGAGATTCACTCAAACAGGTAGAGGACATCCCATCTACAGTGTCCCTGCTCCCTCCGCCACCTCAGCTCAAAAAGACCAGACCTGTCTCTGCCATCACCCCACAGCTGTGTAACTTGCTTCAGCCCATTGACCCCGCCCACCTGGAGAACAGCAGGTCTCAACCAGTCATCAACAAGAACCATACCACACTCTCCACCATCAGCCCATCCTCTGGAGTACACGAGACACCCTGTGCCCAATCACTGAGAGCCCACAGTGTAAGTATGGGCCTAGAAATCAACGGGGCACAACATGATGATGACTTTAATCAATCCTAGATGTCTGAGTCAGACTTGATCAAGCAGTCTCTCAGCTGCCCTGGGACAGACAATGAATGTATAACCTTAAAACCAAATATCGTACGCAACCACTCCTTCAAAGTTAGTGAGGGATATTAAATTCTACATACAAAAAGCAATATATAGTATTTGTTTGATCTGCAAATACTGCTACTATGTCTAGAGTTGTACTGCATTGGCTTTTTTCTGAAATGCACTTTCAAGAAGCAATTTACAAATCTTTTCACTGTAATACTTAATTATATATTTAATACTGTGCAGTATTTTGTCCTTGATTTTATTACAAACACAAAGCATTAGTATCGTAAAACACACCGTCTACTCATTTATTCATTATACAATGAATGAAAACTACAACCAAAATAACATATTGGACAAATAAGTTACCAGAAATGGCCAGCAGGTGGCAACAGTTTCAAACTAAAGTCAACACTACTTTGTTGATGAGGTCAAAATAAAACGATTAACTCTCATCTATTAGGCTTTGTCAGGTTTTGTACTTGGGCCTCAGAGTGGACAGCCTTTGTTTGGCCAAAAAGGACTGGGCTGGACCTGGAGAGCGAGGCTCCTCAGTGAAGCCATGCTTTTGTAGAACTGTAGACTGGGTAGAAATCAACATGTTACTATAGCTTAGAAATTACAGACAAAAATGTGGACAAAAAAATAAGCTTGTACAGTCTAACTTTAAACTGGTGCTGATTCTGAATAACTTTGAATGTCCAACAGCCTCTGTTTTCAAAGCTTTGAGGTCAGCCCAAAGCTACGATCCTGACTTCAGCCAAAGTGACATAATTACCACACTAGTTATTACATGGCATTTAGGTATTTAGACACTGTAATTATTATGTGCGTAATATAGTGAAAACTTTGTACTTAGAAGTAAGCAAGGACTGAAAATCTATAGGATAGCCATGCACTAAAAATATTATTCACGCTAAATAACTAATATAAGCAGTACTCATTACTCAACTAAACTGTAATGAAATGAAGCTGGTGCAACCACAATTAATACTACCTATTGACTATTGGCATTACATACTAAATGCTAAATTTACTACTCCTGTTATTATTACAATGACCACTATCTACTATAGGGAAAAAAGAAAATAGAAGAGCATTTAGTTTTGTTGATATTTTTAAAGAAAATCTTGCTTCAGTCCCAGCTTCCATAAAACAAAAAAAATTTATTTTTAATGTCTTATTGTGGCTGCAACTGTGCACCCACTTTATAAATAAAGCTTTCAATGTGCTTAACCCTTACACTTCTATTGGTTTATTAAAATGTGCACTAACCATTTAACACTATCCACCATTCACCTTACCATGTGTTGCCATGCTGTAAGTATCAGTTCCTCCTCTTGATCTTGCATGGTCCTCCTTTCACGAGAGGCTGAGCCCTGTACGTCCACATAAATTAATAGTCTAGTATTTGTCCTTGTCTTACCCCAAACAAGAAGAATGAATAACATATCCACTCACCTTTGGAGCAGCATTTGAATCAAAAGGTCTAAAATTGATACTCATTATTTAGTAACTGTATCTACTGCTTCACTGACTGTTAAGTTTGTCCTGTTTGGAGCAGAGAGGGGCCCTGGTTTGGTGGTTTAGCCTGTGGTGGGGGTACACTATAGAGGTGCAGCAGAGAGCTTACACACTGGGCTCCTGGTTTAGTGAGAGATCACATCCTGCTGACTGCGGCACATTCGCTGTGGTCAGTAATGGGACTGGGGATTTGAAGGTAAGCACCACTATACAATTAGATGAAACCGATAAGCTGTAACAGCAAGTTTGATGGTACAAATTGTGAAAGAAATAAATGGCAAATGGACTAATTTATATAACACTTTTCCACATCTAACAGTGCTTCACATCAAGGAACCACACACCCAATCTACATACACACACATTCACACACCACTGTACACAGACACTGGAGGTGAAGTGGATAAAGTGTCTTGCCCAAGGACACTCTGCCCCTGTGGCAGCTGGGATCAACCTGCCAACCTGTGGGCCAGTTGATTTGACCAATCTTCCAAATAGTCTTATGCTGGGAGGGGAATTCGAACCCCCAACCTTTGAATCAGTGGGCCAACACCAACAGCGCTTTTGAGCTGACCTTCAGGTGGTACATGGCGACCTTTATAGTTCACTCTATACACTTGGCGCAAAGCACATCAAAGTTGGGTTTTATGTGTGATAAACTAAGTCTATATCAGGACTAAATTGGGACAAGTGTGAACAGAAATACTCCTTTGAATTCGTCCTTGTTGAGAACTTGCATATTTTGTGGTTTAGCCTCAAGTTTTAGACCTGGATCAGGTCTAGTCATATTTGGGGAGACAAATATTTTCCTATTTAGTATGTGCACATCACTCTGATAAGGTGAATGGGAAAAATTGCATCAAATAATTGGAAATGTAAGTTTGTGTATGATCCAGACATTGGTACAGCGGAGTTTAGAGTTTGAGGAAAATATAACATTGAATATGGACAAATAATGTTTAAATTCTATATAAATCAAAAAAGCAGTTGAATTTATATTTTATTTTTAACAATAGACATAAAAACAAATCCAAACGGCAACTAACACAACTTGAAAATTAGGATTAAACTTGTACTGCCAGACTCTGACTAGAACAAGACTCAACAAAGTCTGCATTAGGACTGAACCTGGATTAAACTAGGATCAATGTCCAATATTTCATTTGTCACGTGAAAAGCAGCTTGTTTCTCAGCTCAGTATGTACTGCTGTCACATACACAGAAACACTGTAAATCCCCTCATAGTCAGACATCAGTGGGCCAGACATACACCTTTAAAATAGACCAGTTTTTAATAAATAAAAATAAACACGCTATATTTTCTGAAGCTGCTGAGTAATAATAACTTGATACTGATGTAAAATGGTCACATGGCAGTAACATTACCGTACGCATGTTTTTGTCATTAAGTGTGAAAACATAAGTGTGGGGGAGGATTTTCAAAGAGCTGTGTGCATTTCTCTAGAACCACAAGTATTAAGGTCAGCCAGAAACCAGCAACCAAGCCCAACTGACACTTTACCTGTAAACTGGTTATTACATGGTATTTAGCCTGGGATTTTTGACTAAAGGTGTATTCTTCTACATTATGATATATATTTATATATATTTTTTTTCTTTTACTTATTTATTTGATTTTATTGTGACAACTTTGAAGAATAACAGTTGTGGCAGATATTGTATGTTTGTAAGATGGTATATTTTTGCCTGACCAAACCAGTCTTTCCTATATTGTCAAAGTGTGTGGCTTTGGATGGCAGGCATTCTTTTAAAGTAAGTTATTATTGGAAATAAAAACGTGTACTTGTTTAATTACCTGGCACCATTGTAGGACGTTATGAGCTTGTGGTGCTGATGCTTCAGAAGTGCAATTGTAGAAAAAAAAATGTTATTGGTATAGAGAGAGAAGATATTTTGAATATTTAACTAGTTAAAGATGCAGTATAACTGTGAGTGTGGGGTCAGCTTCAAGTATATGCTATTGCTTTGCCTTTTTATGGAGACAAGTAGGTGACAACAATAGGCTAACTTCAAGTTACAGGTCAGATCTAGAGAGTGGTGCCCATTTATGTCATGCTTTGGAACATTAAAGGCAAAGCACTAACATCTCCATGGTCCAAGTTACATTGTGCACCTTTAAAATAGCTGATTAAATATTTGCCTAGGACAATCAGTTTCTAATTGCAATAACCTAATACAACTACATGCCCTCAGAGGAAAAGACTTCTGTGATAATATTAATGTTGTTACCGCACTTTCTCTTTACACAGGTCTTGTGTACAGGAGGATTACTCTTTAACTAAATCGTCACGTGACAGTAGCGTATGTTCTGTACTTTGAGGGGAGTGTGTTTGGGGCACACCCTGCTCCTCTCCAAAGGTGCGTCCAGCCGCCTCGTTGGGACAGGCCTGTCTGGTTCTGTGTCTGCAGCCTCTGTCCGCTCTGTTTGTATATGTCCCTCTGTGTTTCTACCAGGCTCTTATCGGCTGTGTGGTAATGGTCTGGAGATAACTGGAGGAAATACTGCAGGTTAAAGATCGTTGGTGAAGCAGAGAAGTTATTTTTATGTAGGTTTATACATTTATTTTACTTGTTAAGGTTAAAGAGAGACTTATTTTTTCATATTATAAGATTATAATATGGTATAATTAAGAGAACTCTTGTAAATTAAGAACACTCTGAAGTAAAATGTTGTTATGTTTAGTTGTCTGAAGAAAGGCTTGACCCCGAAACGTCACATTGTAGTATTAAAATAAAGATTTGGGAGTGCCAAAGAACTGCAGTGCAGATCTGTTTTTTATTTTGCACAATTAGTTGAATGATACCACCAACAAAGCAGCTGTTTTACCTAAACATGTTTACAGTTAAATAGGCACACGTTTTATTGCAAATGCTCATCAAAATATTCACAGAATGTACTAGCACTACAATACGGCTTAAACTTGCAGCATATTTTGGAAATATTTTATATTTTTATGCTTTTCATACAAACATCTATTTGCTTCATTAATCCCTGTCACACATTTGACTAAATCTGGTGTTTAGCTGCGAGTATTAGCAAATGGGCCGCTGATTAAAATGGTGTATATTTACCCCAGGCAAATTTGAACCCTGTCTAAACTATTTCTCTTCACTCAATTGGCATAAACACGTTGTTATATAATTTGGTACAGGGTTATATTTAACATGAATTTCTCTCAGATGCCTCTCCAAATGAAAATCTAATTAAATGTGTTGCACGGTTTAATGCAGGCTCTTGGCAGGTGGCAGAGCTGAAGCCTTTGATTTCAAAATACTTGGAAACATCTCATCTTTGTTTTTCTATTTAGTGGCAATAGAGGTAATGATAACAATGGTAAAAGAAATGGAGGTAGAAGTGGTAGTATTTGTATTAATGGTATACAAATAATAATTTAAATAGGAGTACACACTGTATCACTAATGTTTGCAGTATCATAAGTAGTGGCAGTAGTAATGGAATACGAAGAAGATTTTTTATTAAATAGTACTACCATTTTAACCTACTTTCTACTTCTGTGTAAACCAACACATAGTACAAAGCAAAACAACTATAACCAGTGGTAATACAAGGCCTGCATGAGCGTGTGTTAAGTCCACTGTCACTGCCGGGAGGCGCCACATCTGCACACTGACAGATGTTTCAGACCAGGGTACTGCAGGCGCACTAGTTAAGGGGCAACTCCCCACTGCTCTTATCCCCTGTACCCCCCCTGCCTCCCATCTTACGCCCTGCTACACGTCACCCCTGGGCTCTCTAATGGGGTCTGACATTAACGGCTGTCCCATCTCCCCCTTGAGTCCATCCTCTGCGGCCCCCCTGCTCTGAGCTGAGATCCTGCCCCACCACAGTCATCTCTCCTGGGGTAAACATCAACCGGGGGCTAGGTGTCTCTGGAGGGTCTGTTGAAGACTGTCAAAAGCACAACCAGGATGCGCTGTGTCACCTCATAGGCACTGTTACCACTGACAGGAGAGATGAGTGGTGTGAAAAGGGTGGTTTACACATAATAAACACACTGGTATATCACTGAGTACATAATAAAACTAATAATAACCAAAAATGATTGAGTGTTTAAAAAAGCACATAAATCAATTATAAATATATCATAGTTTATTATTCTACTAATATCAGTCATATATTTATATATGTCATATTTATATCAGTTTTATAACTAGGAAGTTCATGCTTAATTTGTTAAAGAATTGGGATCATCTAAAAATACTATTATTTAATGTCATATCACAAATAAAATTCAGAAAACAACATTTGTAGGCCTATAAAATAAACTACTTAAACACCCAATTTAGCCTATTAGCCTAATTGTATTCAAGACACTCAAAGTCACCTAACAGCAATGTACAGTAAAATACATCATCAGTAAAACTGAAAGCTCTCTGAGATGGTCCTGAGAGGAAGAGCGAAGCTGTTGAGAAGGGTGTTACTGCTTTGACTGTAATGTTCCACAGTATGGCATTAAACATGTCTATCGTGCCTTTTATTAAGCATTTTATTGCTCAAAAAATCTTTGAAAAACACTTTTACTCTGAAAAGCAACTCCTCTTCACAGATATGACTTGTAAGTTGAACACGCCACTTGTTTGTCACTATGGAGATAGGACAGTTAAACCATACTCTCATTATTCCAGGCTAAGCACTAACACCTCTACAGAGACAAGGAGACGGCAGACACATTAACAGGAAAGTTACATAGTGAACCTTTAATTATAGTTTATTTTATAGGCCTGCAGATATTGTGTTAACTTTAGTTTGCACAAGCCTGTAATACTTCATCAGCTCACTCACTCATTACTCATGGTAGTTTAGACACCTGTGATAAGACCAGAGTTACACAATACATCACCTCATGTGTCAATCAAATCACCTTTTATCAGGGGGAGTGTCCACTGCACACACGCACGCTCTCCACCTTCTCGTGGAGAAAAACATATTTAAATCGGAGGTTGAACTTGTTGAACTGGATACAAGATGCAGGTGAAGCACTGTTTTTTCATGGAAAGAAAGAAAAACAACAACACATAAATAGCTTTAGCATCTTTAGCTCAGGTCTTGTTATTTGTGCAACAAACCAATGTGAGTGGATAATACTATCACAATACATGTTTACTGTTCATATCTATGGGTCCAGTTTTGATAATAAACATCTCAGGCTACTTGAATTATTCTACAAACAAATTTAAATAAAAAACACCCACAGTTAAATGAATACAAGAAAGATAATTACATGACATACTGTGGAAAATTCCTGGCAAATGGATAACACTGTTACAGAAACAAGCAGGTGATGGACCAGCCACCAAGATATACACTACTGAGATGAATGTAGTTTGTTACAGACTCCTGCTACAAAAAACATTGCTGCTCCTACTATGACTTGACAATTGCAGAACTACTACTGCTAATACACATTTAAACTTTGCTTTGATAGAATAATTGTGTTTAAATATTTGTTTTATGATTTTTGGCTGATCAACTCACTTTTGATGGATTTTTGATTACTTGTTTGATTAGGCCTTTATACTTTATGTTCATAAGGAGACGAGAGTCACATCTGAACTTTTTTTTCCAGTTATTGTTCTCCTTTCACCTGACTTCTCTTTGGTCAGTAATGATGAAGTTAAGTTTGTAAAGCAGCACAGAAAGAGAAAGGGGGCGGGGTCTGTCATGTTTGGGTACAGATGTGAATTATTCATGCAGTCAGGCCCCACACTGGTGAAGTCACAGTAGTGTAAGTAATGGCGTGTGTCACACAAATCAACAGCCATGATGACCTCATTTCACCACATAACTACTGTCCGCCCACTCCCTGTTTAAGGAGTCCAGACAGGCGCGATCCAGACACACGTGCAAGGATGTGTCCCAGCATATGATCAACAGGACTACAAACCTGTTCTTATGTATTTGTACTCGAAAATATTATAAGTACACAACTACCACAGCTTAGCCCAGTGCTTCTCTAGTTACTGCTAGAACAACTATTATATTACTGCAGCTGTGATCACTTTTACTATAAAGACTATTTCAACCTACAACAAACCTTTACTTCATTATCATAATATTGAAAATATTGTACAGATTTAAACAATAAAGTGTGACATTAAAAAAAAAACAAAAAAAACAATACTACCACTAAATACTACTAAATAAATATGAATTACCATTAATACTAGTGCAAATGCTGACATTAGTGGATAATCAGCCACTAGTGTTATTACTACTGCCGTAACTACTGCTATGTGCTACCGCTTCTCACTAATAACAAACTTCTTGTTACTCATTGTGAAATTCTCAGTGTCTGTAGTAACATGCTATGGGCTACATAATTAAGTAGAAATATGCTAAGTAACTTTCCACCTTTGATGATCATAATAAATTATCATTATAAAATTCTAATGGCTAAAGGGTAATTATATATTGCCTACATTTAGGAGTTGTCACTTTTTCCCACTTTCCCACCTCTAAATGACACCACAATCATTTGAGTTTTCCACATCCACAGCCTGTAGTCTGTAGTGCAGGTGTTGAAGTTGGCAGCCCCAGGACTGGAGCCACACCTGTGCTCGCAGACGACTCATGGCCGATCACCAGATAAATACTACAGCTATTGTGAAAAGTCAGACAACAACAACCTGCGCAGACAGACACACACTCAGCGGGACAAGAATGGCACGAGAAATGTTTCCTTTTACACATCACCATGGTTACAGCTAAACTAAACAAACACAGACAGGCTTATTTTGTTGTTTACTTTTATTGACAGGGTTAGGGAGACCTGTGGTGGAACAATTATGATTTGGAAATTCTAAAAATATGAAACCCAGTTAGAAATACAAAACCTGTAAGCCTATAGACATTTGGTTGCACAATACATTGACAGTTAATTGAAATTTCACTATGATTTGGTACAATTATCAAATTGCAAATGCTGAAATTATTTATATAGTAGACTATAACAAAGAACAAAATATCCAGTCTTTTTACTGAAAACTTTTATTGTAGCTATAGTTTAAACCTTTTCAAACATGTTCAAAGATTCTTGCATTAGTTCATCAGTTCATATTTCAGTCTTCTTTCAAATGCTAGTGTTCCTGTAGTTGTTTACAGTGTCCACTTTAAACAGTATCATACATATATAAATCAAACATATATTCCAAATCTAACCGTAATCTTAATACATAATACACATAATCTCAGACAAATCACAATTAGAATTATATAAATTGTGCAGCCCTAATGGAGACTACTTGTACTGGTGTGAACTACACAACTAGTATATGATCTAGTTTCAGTCTACCCCAGAAGCTACAAAGACTTCATGGGCTCATATTTTACTCTTACCAAATATTTATATAACAAATAACCAGAATATAATGCCTATGAGAGACATTATGAATTGTGATAATAAAACATGACTTCTACCACACTGCAATTGTCTGACCATACATGATTTGATAGCTAATTAATTAAGTAAATATGAGTATAAAAATAAACAAATTATGTATGAGTTACACCAGTTTTATTGATACAAAAAGAGTACATGACTAATTATAAGTACATAACAATTGCAAAAAAAAATTATGTTGTTTGTTTTTTTCAGGCTGACTAAGTAACCCATCAATGCAAAACATGGACAATTGATAAAATACTTCAATTGAGGTGGTCCTGACAAAATCTAACGCAATATCTGTAGATGGGTCCCTGGACACTGACCTTGATTTTAACTACAAATGGCAAATAATCAAACCTAACTAACCTAACCTGATCTGGTTGCCGCAGCAGCATTCAAGGATAGGTCAAATGCACAAAATGTCATACCATAGATAATAAAGTATACCTAAATCATAACCACCAGGGTCTGTCAGTTTAAGGGCTTTTGTCTACAAACACTCCAGATATGGTGCTGAAATCTCCTCAAACTCCAAATTGACAGCATAAATGAGAGTATTCTGTTTTTCTCGCTAGTACCTGATATCCATCTTTTATTTGACTCTATTCGTACATGCCATGTTCACTATACTCCTTGCCCAAGGCACAAACTGAACCAGAAACTCGGTGTCAATAATTTCCCCATATATTCTGCAGCTCCCGCAGGATCTTGTCTCGTCTTGCTGCTGTCTGTTGTTTTTGCCGTTTCTTTTGCTTCGACTGTGAGGTGATCTCATCTGTGCCTCCTCCAGCCCCCACCCCTGTCCTCCTAACACACAACATTGTATTTATCGGACCAAAATAGCCACCTCAGGCTGGAAAAACCCTAGTCAAGACAAACTGAAACAGGCCAAGACTTTCCAAGGAAGCCAGTCTGGGCCGGAGGTGAAGGTTTTGACTGACACCGGGCAAATAAGAGGCATTTAGGGTTGAAAGTCAAGGTGGATAAAGGCTGATATATAAAAGCTGACTTGATAACAAGAACATGATTTGGGTGATGGGACAGCTGGATTATTACAGAAAAAATATTTGTAAAAGGCCCTTGTCAACTTGTGGTTAAGCTGTTTTTTTAAGCTTTAATGCTATGTTCCTAAAAATAAACCTATGAATACAGCAGTTCTGGTGCTGAACTATTTTTGTCTTATATACAGATATTGTGCTAGTTCAACTGAAAGCAACAGTGGCCCTTCTATTACAGTAAACATGATCATGTTATTGTAGAAATGCATATAAAATGTAACCTTTGCTTTCTGAAAAGAAG